GATGCTTACTTTAACTCTTTTTTATTGATGGCAATAGGAATTTAGAATTTGTGCTCCATAGTTTAGTTTAAAATCTCTTCTTTTAAAAATACAAAAAACAAGTAACCAGAGAATTTAAGTGACTGTATGAATTCAGAAGTCTTATTAATGGCAAAAGCTGTTTGCACATGTGGGACTTTTCCTCCTCTTGTTATTTCTACTTACACATATTTTTTTTTCCTTAAATGAGTTAGCTAATGTGATTCAATTCATCTTCCATAAATAAAAGTAGAAACAAGTGTGAGTACATCATCTACGATGAAGAACCACAGAAGGTAGCTGTATAGAGACACAAAGGGCCTATACTGGGGGAACTCACTCTTAATGTTATGGTTATTCACATCTCACATAGCCGGGCTGTGTGTATACATGAGGACAGATGAAACTAGAAGAATGACATCTCCCTCCAATCAGCTGCTCTATTTCATTGATCTTTAACTACCCTCTCTCATGTCTAATTGTGATTTTTTTTTCCTAACATAAATTTCCTTAATTCAATAAAATGGTGATATGTGTGGTAAGAATATATGACACATAAGAAACCCTAAACACCTAGAGAGAATGAGCTGAAAAACCAAACAGAGCAGAAGGGAATGATTCTAACTTGGACTCTTCTAAAGACAATCTTTCCAGGTCTTATATTTTTCCCTAATGAGACAAGTGTGTCCTAGGTGCACATGGCACCTGACCTAAATATAATGATAATGTCTCTATTACTCAGACAGCTGTCTTTCTCACAGGGAAAATGAGATTCAACATTTTTGTGGATTATTAACTTATCTCAGTGTACTTTTACTTACTTTTTTTCTTACTTTGCTTTGTTTTTCTATTTTTTTTTTTTTAATTTTGAAATAGTGACTTCGTGACCTGGGATTTTAAACTGTGTCCACTTTTCATCCTGCTGCCATAAAAATATTCCACAGATATTGTTCAAGCTAATTCTCTATATCTCCTCTAGGAGAATTTGTGACTTATTTCTAGTTCTAGCACTTAGCATCTGCCAGAGTTCAAACAGACCTCTACGAGCCTCCTCCTAAGATGAGCATGACAATATCTATTTTAGAGGCCACTGGAGCAAACAAAGGAGATCTATTTTGTATCAGTGCTTTGCAAACTATAGCATCAAATATATGTGACCTGACAGATAGACGCTATCCTAAAACACCAGGGACATAAAATGGTTTGAGAAATGAAGACCATGGGACTCATGACGAAGCTCATGACTCTCCTGTCCATTTTAAGAGACAACCCAAAAGGAAAACTGGTTATTAAAAATGAGTCCAAGGCAGGTGGTGGAGTCTCCAGGGAGAATAGTACAGTAGACCCAATGGAGCATGCTCCTTGCACAGAACCTGTGCAAGCTTCTATTCTGGGTTCTCTCACATCATTGAAAGTATGCAATTATTTTCTCCCTTTCCTGACCTGCAATAACATATAAATTGAGCCTAAGTCAGGCATCTTTGAATCTCCAGAATTTAGCTTCATGTCTGCTGGGCATTGTTAGGCTAGTGAGCATGACCAAGTGTGGCAAAGGGAAAAATACCCTCCTCCCCAAAGATCTTCATCTCAATTCCTAAAACCTGATAAAATGGGACCTTACATGGCCAAAGGCTCTGCAGTTTTGTTTGGATCTCAGTACTAGGGACTGAACCCAGGATCTCACACATGCCCAGCAGATATCTACCACTGAGCTGCATATCCAGCCCTTCTTTTCAGAATCTAGAGTTTTAGATTCTTCTGCCTCAAACTCCTGAGCAGATGGGATTCAAGAATCTTGAGATAAGGAACTTGGATTACCCAATTGAACTCACTGTAGTTATAGGATCCTTAGAAGAGGGAAGCAAAGTTGGGAAAATAAAATGTGATGACAAAGCAGAGACAAGTGATTTGCTTTGAAGATAGAATCCAAGGAATGGTAGATTTTGTGAAGGGCACAAAATGATTCTCCTCTGAAAGCCTCCAGAAAGAATGTAGCTCTGCCAAAAACACCTTGCTTGAAGATTTTTGATTTCCAGAATTAAAAGGGAACAAATCCGTGTTCTGTTAAGTCACTAAGTTTGTTATAGTAGCAAGAGGAAACTAACATAATTCCATAAGAAGATAAATGAATAACTATCATTTGAATGAGAGACCGAGTGAATGAATGGGTGATGGAGGGATGAAGGGGTTATAAGTAGAAAGCAGACAGGCCCAGTTCAGGTCCCATTTTGAATAATCACCATGGGGAATTTGGGCCCTATCATTTAATTTCTCTAGAATTTCTGAGTGTAGGAGATGAAGTTGTGCAGTCAGATTGAGCAGGGTTCACATTCTTTCTATGCTACTTCCTAGCTGTGCACCCTTAGGCAAGTGTTCACTGCTTCCTGAGCCATATGTCCACACCTGTAAAATGAGAATAGGGTCAGGCTCTCCCACCGAAAATTGTGGGGACTGATTGAACTAAAGTGGAGTAAGTTTTGATGGGGCTCCGAATGAGGCAATCTGGAAATCAAGGCCACAAAATATTTACTACCACTTCATGCATAAAACTAGAAATCATGCAAATTCTCCAAATGAAAATAAAAGTCAAGAACTGCACAATGGCAAGGTTGGTAAACTATAAACCCCTGATTGCAACACGATGGGAATGCTTTGATTGCTGAACAGAATCACCCACCATCTTTAAGAGGATTCATGTTGAATGACACAAGACATAAATTATCAAAGAACACATGAGATCTTCGGGAACATACTCCTTGAACAAAATACGGCCTCCTTTCATGCATACAAATCATGGGCCCACACACAGATAACTATTACTCTGCTATTATGATAATAGTTCAATGAATTTGAGAGATGAAGGGGACCTCAGTGCTGCCCAGCCACCGTTCCCTTCTCTTTGTGCTCATTTCCTGAATTCCAAGAGCACATGGTTGTGCCTCACATGTCTTACAAATTCAAAAAATATTTGTTGAATGTACAAATGACCTCTACAGGTCATGTAACCCATGTCCCTCTCCCACTTTACAGACAAGGAACCTATAACCAATTAGAACAATGACTGCAACATTCCCTTTGTGTAGCATTCAATAACTTGTCTTCTCTCTACAGGGAAGAGCTCATTTCCCCAAATCAACAGACTGAATTTTGGAGAGGGAATATTTTCAAAACACAGTTTTATCAGTGTATCAGTTTTTCAAACTAGCTTCCAGTTTCACAAAGTGAATTCTGATAATGATAAGAGTCTCCAATACACACTTGGTTAATAATGGGTAGAGAGATTGGGGAGGCAATAACCTAAAGGAAATAAGAATCTGGATAAGAAATGCACAGTGAGAAAATTAAAAAAAAAAAGCCTAAGTGAAATGTGGTATTGTTTAGTTTTAATGGAGCCTGGTGTTACCTGTGAGGGGAGAAAATGACCTGTTTCAGATTCATGATTCCTTTAGGTTGAACAGAACTAGTCAATGTTCAGTCAAGTCCCACTTTTTTCCCTGTGTCTCACCATTCTATCCAAGCAAATACAATACCTAGGAATAATTCAAATTAGTAGGACTTAAATGTCCTAAATTTAGGTGACCATCTTAAAGGAAAAGCTGAATAATTTTGTGAAGACCACAAAATTCAGGAACATATTCCTTGAACAATAGGAGCTTTCTGTTGATAACCCCTTCTTATCCACCTCAAAAGATTTTCCTGCTAGGAATAGGATCTAGTGAACTTTCTGTTGTCTTTATGGAGCTAATTTTAATTTCCTCTGAGATATCTCAAGTCAACTCCTTGTAGTGTGTTCACTGGAGATGGGGAAGAGTTGTCCTCATCTTTGTAGAATCGTCCCATGTGTGTTTCAAGAGTCAACTATTTAAGCACAGCCTCCTTAGATCTAAGTATGCCACAATCTCACAACCCAGCATGGTACCTTGATTTTTATTATCAGATCCCATTCCCTCTCCTCTTCATAATATACTGGGTTGCAGAACTCTGAACTCATGAATTCAAGTAATTCATGCAAAATTATCCTCAAAAGATGGCTTTCTGTGCTCATCTCCCCAAACCCACTTGATTTTTACTAGTAAAAATCTAGGGCTTTCCAGGGGTCATCTCAAATGTCTGCCCAATTCCTTGCCTTCATTAGCTTTTTTAGCTTGCCATATAGTTGTATAGGGAATGTCAGGCCTCTATTTGTGATTTTAAGTGATCTCCAATAAAAATCCTGCAGCTATCCATTTAGAGTCCCTGTGCTATTTCTGTTGTACTTCTCTTTTCCACCCTGCATAAGCCTTCTCATCCAATGGGTGCCATATTCAAATTATATGTCCTGCTTGCTAACCTGGCCACCTTGCTAGTGTCAAAGGACTATGGGATAACGACCATCAAGAGAAGATATTGACTTGTTACTTAAATGAACTCTTACTCTCTGGACCTCTTTAGACTCCAAGTGAAGGGCCAGATTCCTGGTCACATCATATAGATCCAGAACTCACCATGGTCTTTATACCCTTGGTCTCATCATCAAATTCTATATCTCACCAAGCCATTATTCAGTTACCCTGAACTTAACCTCACGGCCTTGCTATCAAGAGGCTACTGCACCTTAGTCTAGGTTCCCCGTGATCAGGAATGCCCTTCCCCTCATTCTCTCCTCTTCAAAGTCACCTCAAATGTCACACCTCTGGTGAGCACTCCTCAACTCCTCAGACAGGATGAGCCACTGCTTCTCCTGTGGTCCCGGAGAACATTGCAGATACCTCTCTCATAACCCTGACAACAGGGCAATGCACTGCCTTTATAAGTCTCCCTGTTTCACTATATTTTTGCATCTTACTACAATCACATCTGTGATCTGTTTCAAAGTAGGAATTTAGGGGAAAAAATGACAACTAAACATGCATTTAATTCCTCAAACCAGAGGTGACTACGTGGCTATCAGCAAGAAAAACAAGCCGACCGATACACAGCCAAGAGTCAGAAACATGGTGTACCTGATAGGTCATTATGTTAACAGGTTCTTCTCTCTTCTGCTCTGGAGGTCCTTGACTCTGCAATAGATTCCGTACTGTTTCTTCCATCCTGTGAAACAAAAACATGAAACATTTCTTAAAGGTTTCCTATTAGCACCAGTCTGTCTCCGTTAGTAGCAATCACTTTTAGGGTGTATTTCCTACAATTAGGCCAGAGAATAATTGTTCTCTCTTCTTTATCCTCTAATTTAAAATCTGTCATGAAGTCTTTCATAATCATTCATCAGAATACATATCTCTGGGTTCTTTTTCTCTTTACTAGCTAGGTCTCCACCCTTGGCGGTGGATCTCGGCGCTCCTACACACGTCTCCTTAACATGTCTCTTCACTTCTAATCACTCCCTTTTAATTCAGTACAATGCCATCACATTAATCTTCCTGAAGCACCACTTTGATTTTTTTAAAATCAATTTTCAAAGTTAACAGGTATTACATAAATGCATTCTCTCCATTAATACACTGTCAGGTCTTTCCTTGGTGGCCTTTGTATGTCAGCACACAAAGACATGCTTCATTCTTCTCAACTATTTCCTAGCGCATTTGATGGTGTTAATGTACCAGTGGTTATTTAGCCATTTCCTACTGATGGAATTTAAATTGCTTCACGATTTGTGCTAATTCAGACAATCAACATCTTTTCATATACAATTTTGTACACACTTATGAATATTTCCACAGGTTACATCACAATGTGTCACACCCTGTTTTGTTTTAAATACTAACCTCCCAGGGCTCCAAAGTAATACCTGTTTGCATTTTGTAGACATTTGCTTATGCCATTATTAGCACTGGAATTGCAACTTCCTTTCATCTTCCCATATCCCAAACATTCTTTCCAAATCCCACTCAAATCCCACTTCCTAAGATACCTCTTAAATTGTCTAGATTCTTTTGCCTATACTTTAAATCATTTATTTGATCACCTAAAAAAACTTTACTTAAGTAGTCAAGTATTTCCTATACTCATGTTTCATGTTCTGGAGTAAATGACAACATTCAATATAAGACTGTCATATTCCTCTATGTGTCCCCCCGTTATGAATAAAGTGGGTATTCACTAGACAGTTCACATTCATCAATTCATTTTAAAAAGAGGAAGTATTTACTCTGCGCCAGGCATTCACCAAGTGTATTAAGACTGCTGGAAGGCCTTTGTCCTTGGGCCCCTCCATAAAGATTCAGATGCCAGAACTCAGCAAGCTGAGCACTGTGCATTCTTGCCCTGGACCTGAGTTGGTTTTCTTTCTCAGTCCCAACCTGAAATGTATACTTTTGTGACTCAATAGGACATCAGTATAAGACAGTTGTGGAGAAAAGCAGGATGGTCCAACTTCTCCCTCTTACTAAGGACTTCCAGTATGACAAACCAAGGGCTCTCTAGAAGGCCTATGTAAATCCCATCTGGAGGACAGGTTATTACAGTAACCAGGGCCGACTAGGTCCAAATGCTAGTCTTTCTAACATTTGGCTTTTAAGTATTTAACAGCAGAGTAAAGAAACTGTGAATAAACTGGCACATCCAAACCTGGATGAGTTATTGAGGAAATGCTGCCTTCTCAGGGGATGCTTCCAGGGCCCATTCAGGCTTTGCAGATGATAGCAGGCATTGACTCTGAGTGTTCAAAAAATGATCTGTGACCTCACATTTGTACACTACCTCCCACCGGCAGCTGGGCAAGCAGAGGCTGTTCCCTACATTTCCACAAGTCTTACATTATTAATAATAACTCAAAATTGAATAATACTTTTAACTTGCCAGAGAACTCTCATCTATTAATCATTTATGCATATAAATATGTACATATATAAATATGTATAAACATATATAAATATGAATATAAATATTATGAACATGAGTACATAAATATGTATTTGTACATATATAAATATGTATGTAATATATACATATATGTGTGCAATCCATTCAATGTAAATCATATATAATGATATTTAAAAGCATATATATACCCTTTTAAATTCATTTTCATAAAATGAAATAAGGTACACATTTTAAGTATATGTATATATACTTTTATAATATATACTCATATACTTTTAAAATATCATTATATCTATTTGGCAGATGAGAAAGCTGAGACACAGGAAGGTTAGATAGCTAACTGAAGGAATCATGGTGAGTTGGATAGAGAGTTAATATTAAACTGTTAACAGCGGTCTCTTTCTACTTGATCTCATCGACATTTGGGAAATTACTACAAATAATGAAAGATTTCATTTTATGTGTACAACCTCTTGAGTGGTAGTAGATTTTCCATGACATTTGCCAAATATTTCATTATCAAAGACAGTAATAATAACGGTTCTTAAACTTGCGTAATCTGCTAGCTCATGGCTGTTCAGAAAATACTCCTCTGGGTTTCCAATGTTTATTACAGTCATATGCTGCATTGATGGTGTCAGTGATGTTTTGGGGAACAACAGACTGCCTATATGATGCTGGTCTCCTAAGATCTTATCAGATAGCTGTTTTAGTTTGTGTGGCATACTCTATGATGTTGGCACCATGATGAACTCACCTAAGGATGCCTTCTTCAGAATGTGTCCCCATCAAGTGATGCAGGACTGCAGCCTACTTTCTTCTCACTTGAGCACAGAAGCTGAATTCCTTATTTTGATCCTTAGTTTGTTCATTTGTAAACAACCCAGACTACATGTGGCCCAGTAGTTAGAAGTTAGTTAAAATAAAACTATGCCACCTTCTTTACTAAGTTAAAATATAATTTTGTCTCAGTGCTTATCTTGCGGAATTATTGCTGTAGTTAGAAGCTTCATGCATAAGATGCTGGATCAAAAAGAAAAATACCTATTCACCTTTCCAAATTCTTCTAGGATTTATAATTTTACAAAAGAAAAAAAAAACTAGGGGTGGATAGGAAATTGTTAATCTTAATCAGTCTAGAACTCTAAGTAACACTGTGAACACTTTTTTGGCTCTGCCTTATGTGAATTAAAACCAGTTTCATCTCTGACCTACAGCTTGGAATAGAGGATCGGGACCCATGCCAAACCTTGGTGAAAAAAATCAAGCTATAGTGCCGTTTTATAACCTTTGTCAATCTGGTCACAGAAACAATGTTTCAAATCTAGTGAGAATATATAATTATTTATTCACTGGTAATATCTTCTTTCCATTTTCATTTAGCAAACCTCTATTTGCTTGAAAATCAGAGACCATGAAGAATTGTCCAATGGCATTTGATGCCCAATGACATGTTGCTTCATTTCATTATTTTGATAACTGATATGAGGGTTGCCATTACCAGTGAGCACATGGCATACCTATAGCCTCCCTTTCCCACATTGGATTATTTATTTCTAAGTGGCTGCTAGGTGTGAATTATCCTTAAACACTAACCTTAATCAACCAGTTGTCATTCTCCCCAGTGGAGACTCAGTCCTCTTTTTCCTAAATATTGGTCAAGTCACTGTTTTAACTAAAAACATATAGAACAAATTTACATCTAGTGAGATGCAATAAGTTTTAATGCACATGAAGTGAACTTCCCTTTTTAAAGTCAAATTTCAGGCAAACCAGAGGAAAATAAGTCAAATGCCTATGCAAACAGCATGCTTCAGGTCAAAAAGGTAAAAATGCAGGAATTTTTATTAAAAATGAATCACATTTATTATGGTACACATTAATTAATGAGTAAATTTTTAATATAGTATTTCCTTGGAGGGAAGCAAAAACTATAAGAGTGCTAACTTAAAATGAGAGAAATAGGACATTAGATAATATTGCATAAGAAAAGTAACAATTCAAAAATCTCTCTAGAGCAGGATTAGTGAGCAATGAGCTACCCTAACTCAGCTCTCTCCCTGCTAACAGGGGTCCCTCCACCTTTGCTAGTGTCCTCCTTTCAAGTGCAGATGGCAGGGTACTCATCATTTGTTGCCCCTAACGTCTCATTGTCAGGGACTCTCTGGACACCAAAGAACATTCCTTCTGGAAGGAAATGTTTAAACATAATAATTGCCTGAACCCCAAGAAAACACCTAATCATATAGGACCTGATAACATCAGGGGCATTATCCCCCATAATCATAGACTGTGACTTGGACCCTGAAGATCTTGACTCAATAATGATAGTTGTGTTAGAAAACAAGACTCTGAGGCATCTGAGGAGCTGTTCATTCTAATAGGAAAAACTGAGCTTTCCCACATCCCTTCCTCCCAAGATCTAGCCCTCTGTCTCCCTAATGACACTTGAAGGAATCGATGAGGACGTTAAACTGAAGTAGTCTTTTGTCACTCCTATCATCCAGTCCTCAGTTGGGCATGATTTCATTTTTTGACAGAAATAGAACAAAACAAACAGAACAAAAAGCCTCTTTCCTTAGCTCAAACTGGGAGCTGATGAGTCTGTTTCAATTGAAGGCTGAACCAAACCAAGTCATTGTTTCAGAAATGGCTCTAATGTGTACTTGATGATTAAGAAAATAGCAATTTAATAATGAAATTAACAATGGTCTCACTCATATTCTTTTAGTCAGGTGAGAAGCTGCAAGACTACAGCCCATCTGCTTTTGCTAAAAGCACACATTACAGTCTTTTACTCTCCCTTACCATGAAGTTTGTCAAGAGCTGCTGCTGCGACTTACAAATTGCTTTTTCTCCTGTTTCACTGTATTTGACTCCCCATCTTCTCACTTTGAGAAAAGTGTGCCAATTTAAGCAATGAGTTTCATGATTGAACCTCATTTTAATGACAGAAAGAAAGGGGCTGAGGTTACATTAGAAAGAGTGACAAGGGCTAATGTCACCGCAGTGCCTCTGCTTTACCCCAGCCTTCTCCCTATGAAATCATGACAATGACGTGACCCCATGTGGAGAATGGTACTCATCTTCTAAGGTTAATGGCCATAATGAAGACAAGCATACTTCTCAGATATGCTGGGAGAAAAGAAATTGTTATAATGAAATATGAGCTCTCTCAGTGGATGCCCATGCAGTAGAGTTTTTAAAAGATTTAAGCACTCTATAGCTTAGATGTTCAAAAAGAAATGACATTCATTTCTTTTTATATG